GAGCTTTCGTGCAAATCTGGTGTTAAAATTTCATTTGACCATTTGATATGTCACCAAAAATAATTTTTATGTCATGTCATATAAGCAAAATATCTCATCAGCCTCGTCAAGAAAATTATTTATTTCACTGCCAAATATCTATAAATTATTTTGAATCACTGTCCAATTCACTGTCAGAGTAAGATGACCCTTGACAAATGACATTTTCCTATGAGATATCTTGTCAGATGCTCCCAGTTGTTAAAATTCAACTATTATTTTCAAAATAATGACAAGTTGGTAACTTGGTTTATACATGGCAAATATCTAAGCACTTTTCAGTTTCACATATTTCAGTTAAATTATTTCATTTATAGATTTGTGTAAACTGTTAAACATATCACTGATTTCTTTGGGGGGGGGTACATCTTGAAAGTTTTATTGCAGTTATTATATCTTCACTTGAAATTAAACTCGGTTTGCTTCTACTAGATTCTGTGTTAACTCCTTTTTTTTTTTATTTAAATATTCATTTTTTGCTTTCATATAGAATCTGTTTGGTAAATCATTCTCACTATTGAAGATTGTGATTTGAAAGATGACAATAATAATTTGGAAAAAATTTATAAATCCTATTTTTTTTTTTAAAGTATCTACTTACGTGTAATCTCAAAAAATCTAATTTCCTTTGATTGATAGCCAGGATTAGAGTTGCAAGATTTAGGGTACTAAATATTTTTAGCTCCTTTACGCTAGTTGCTTCTAATGAATTTGTATATTTCTTCATTGATTTAGCTGCATGTGGATTTCATGTGGCTGGTAAAAGGCTTGCTTGGTATTGATTCACAGTTCTTCTGTTAGCCGCTTGATAATTCTCTTATCATTTAATACAATTAGCAACTATATTCAGCTTTCTTGCAGCTCTTCTTAGGCTGGAGTGCCAAGTAATTTCATTCCTACTTGCTGGATGGAAAATAAAAATAGATTTTAACTATTGAGAAAGCAATATATGAATTTATTAAGATCTACTTAAAATGACATGGAAAATAGTCTCTGATTATCTTATTCTCTTGTGTTACTCATTACATTGCTTATTGGATAAGGAATAATTGTCCCAGATAAGGGAATATGAAGATATAACACTCATAAAAAAGAAGCAAGCAATAAATTTATCTTAATTATTAATATTTGATTTTTGTCTGAAAAACCATTTCCATTTATTGGTACATATCAGTTCTATTTTGCTCTTGTATTTGAAAAAGAAATATTTATTGAAACATTGATCATGTTTATAATTTTTTGATGAGAAGTAGAAAATATGAATATTTAATTCTTACTATTGATCTAATTATTGATTCACTGACCACCTGCTGGAAGGGGTACTCAGAATTATATCTAAATGGAGAAAAGTGCAATGCGGGGAAAAAAAATTAAGGATGCTGGGCAAAAGGAGAGATTATTTTTGTTTTTGGTTCTCTGATGGAAAAAAATATTAAAAACCTATTACCAAAGCTATAATCAATTCTTTTAAATGAAATATTTGTTTTGCTTCCTTTGCTTGTACATAGACTTTATGATTAATCGTTATATTTCAACTCTAAAGAGTATGTAAATCTTCTCATATTAACAGGCAGATTTTTCAGTCAAGCAATCTTGTGATTAAAATTGACATTACATAAATGTAGCTTTATTGAGTATATCTACCAGCATATTTCGCAAATTGTTCTATATGTACTATCCCTTCAGGATGTGGTTGATCATGGCTCTCCACAATTTCCGCAAAAGCTCTTAGAAATTTTGTCTTTTTGATATCTCTCTTAATCCCTGTTCTGCCAGCCATTTACACAACTTTATTAAGTAGGTTATGTGCTGCTTTCCTCTATCTCTCTTGCCTTCAATACATCCTGTGAGTGTCAAATTTTTTAAACCCTCTTCATTATGTGTCCTAGAAATTACAACTGTCTCCTGAGTATAAGTGTATAAAACTTCATCATTGCCCACATGTTCAGTCCATGGTATTCTGAGCATCCTCTTGTAGAATCACATTTCAAGTCTCTTTTCCATGTGTGAGAAGATTGTCCAGTATTCACAATTTTCATATTCAACTATAAAAACGTAGCTGTATTTTGTTAAATTTCTAATTTGGTCTTTTGTGATCTTTGTAAATGATCAATTGTTTTGTTGATGGCTTGGTTATTCAAATATATTGAACAAACTTAGTATGTAAACTTTATCATTTTGAAAATCCAAATATTGTAAGTCAGTTCACTATATGTTCCAGAATCTATCTTAAACATTTATAAATCTACAATTTGTCTGTGTATTGAATATTGTTGCCACATGTAGTCTGTTGCTTCTACAAAGTATCTAGTGATTCTTGACAAAATCCAAAGAAGAATCAGTAATGTTATCGGTCATGAAGGGCATCTTGGCTTCACTCACTTCCCCTCACTATGACATAGTTTCCCCTTGCCTCCTCTATAAATATTTTCATGGTAATTCTTCTGATGAACTTTCCTCACTGATATTTTGACTTTATGAATTTAAACACAGTACTAAATTGGCAGCTAGGTCTCTTAATTTCACTGTTGAAATCGCTAATTGTAACCATAAGTTCCATACTAATTGTTTCTTATCTTGCACTTCTTGATTGTGAAATTCTCTTCTGGCTTCCAGCTTTCCTATCAACTACAATCCTCAAAAATTAAAATGCATCATCAATTGTCATTTTCTGTCTTCTTAAATCCTGTTCTTTTATAATCCTCTCTGTTCCTTTCACTTTCAGTAATCCCTTTCATCTTAGTGACTTTGTTACCTTGCTTGGGATGAAATGATTTAGAAAAGAAAGAAATGAAGCAAAACAAATGAGTCTTTTGTGTGTGCAACATTGGGGATCATTGTCACCAGATTTATTTATTAACAAAAAACTTTTATTAAAAGAAAGTAATATAAAGAAGCAAATAAATGTTTTTTTTTTTTTTCCTCGACCTTTATTCACAAAATTATTGGGTTTAACGTTATCTTCACAAACACAGTTCCATATTGATAATATCATAGTATCTTTTAATTTGATTTTGACGTATTAACATTTTTATGCATAAATAACATTAAAATAATTAAATTTTTCACTTATTGGAAAATTAATATTTTTTTTCTTGCTCTTGTTTTAGCTCTTTCTGTCTGTATCTGAAATGTGGAATGAAAATACTTGCACTTTCATTTTTATTTTATTCTTTTAATGATATAAATCTGTGCTTTTTTTAAATAATAAATACTAATAGTTTTTTAATATATAGTCAAATGATTTCACTTCAGTTTATTTTAAAGGCTATAGTTACTTTCAATCCACTAACACATCATGGCACTGACTATTGTTAAGTGCCTGGATACCAATTATTGTCCATATTATTAGATCTAAATTTTAGAGAGAAGAGAGAGAGAGTGTGTTGTGGGATACTTGTATTTTGTGGGTAGAAATAAGTTACCATTATGTTGTGGGAATCAAAACTTTGGATATTAAATATTTATGGGCTATTTATCCTGTAAACAATATTGGTCGACTCAATTTGAGTACAGGGAAAAATAAAAACACAAAATAGTGGATATAAAACAGACAACAGTGCATGTTATTAACAAAAGGAATTACATGTGTACATGAATATAATGAAAGGAAAAAACATTAAAACTAACTATAAGAAGAATGTGCCTGTTTTTTTTGTTTTTTTTTGTGTGTGTGTGTGTGTGTGTAACAAGTATGTGTAATAGATGTGTGTGTGTGTGTCTGTGACTTCAAAAGTCAACAGAGAACCAAGAGATTGAACATGCCTCGTCAGCATCATTTGTTATCAAGGTCAACTACATCTGGAATCAAGAGATAAAAAGGGCTAAAAAGAGAAAATATGATTGCCTTTTTATAGGCTTAAAGCCAAGTGGGATGATAACTCATAAGGAGCACCAAAGCAGCTTTTGGTTTTGAGCAAGGCTCTCTTAAGTTGATTTTATTTTTTTTTCTCACATAAAGAAACTCTGAACTGAAAGTTTGTTGTAATCAGCTTATTGAAAATTAAAGATTTCAATATGCAAACTCTACAAAATTTTATAAAAATCATACAAGAACAATAAAGAGAAAAAGTACCTATTTACACTATTTATATTCAGACTATTGTCCTCATATTTGTTATCACAACATTTTCACTGTTGTACCCTCCAGCCCTCATCAGATGTATATCAGTTCGGGTAAACTACAGGGAATTTCAAACTGAGCCCTTTTATTTTATTTATGGGTGTATACTATTCTTGTTCCACTTCCCATGTCAAGGGATATCTTGTCTAGTTCTTATTTTTAGTACTACTCAATTATTGCTTGTCCTGTTTCCACTGAGTTAAGTACACATTGCTCAGTCCAAGGACTGAACACACAATTACCATGTCATCAAACTCCTGAACCAACATTTTAATCCACTAGTTTGGAATTCCCTGTAGGTTGCCTAGGTGTATAAATACCTGATGACGGCCAAACGGACAACAGCCGAAATATTGTGATAACAAAAACAACAACGATGAGAACAATAGTCTGAATGTATATAGTGTAAATAATTTATACCATAGCAATAAATTACAGAATCATTTCGAATGACAAAAGAATAATTTCCCTAAGATTCCCAGGTATTTTAGTTTGGTAGAGCTTATATGTATATTGTATGCTTACAGGTGGGTAATTAATTATATTGATTGATCAATCAATTTGTTTTTACAACTTATCAATCTCTTGTAAGTTATTTAAATCCAGAAAATGTTTTTAGATTGTAAGAATTTTTTGGATGTAAAACTGATTTATTGATACAAATCCTACTAATTAACTCATAGCTGGCGAGAAAAGAGGTAAATTCATACTCTTTCCCAAAGGTATTTGTGTGTAAGTGAACATGACAAACCTGACTAGAATTAGAACTCAAGCTCCCTGGTTTCTAATTCTGAGCTGTTGTCCATTACACCACCTGCACATTCAAGCTTATTGGATTATTCCCAAGTGGTCACCCATCTAGGTACTGACCAGGCTTGACATTGCTTAACTTTGGTGATTGGAAGGGAGCCAGTCTTTCAGCATAATATGACTGTAAGCCGATAATTAATTATAATACATTAATTTGTTTTCTTGTTTCACATTTAATACCTTTCTGATGTAGTACTATCCATTACAAATGATTTTGATTAGTCATTCTCATTTTAGGACTTAAATCATTCGTAATTAGAATCATACTTTTGAAATAGTGATTATGTTTAGTTTAGTTGTTGGTGTTTTAAAATGTGCTTGTTTACTTTTGTGTTTAATATTTAGATTTATATGTAATTTTTAAGTCAATTTTTATGTTTCAAGATGAAGTATTGTTTACACTATCTGGAATTAATCAATGGATCACTGTACAGTTAGAGGTAAAGCTTATTATTGCTTTGAGATTGAAAAACTGTACTTGCCATCCATTTTATATTTTCATTTTGGATCAAGGAAAACTGAATCAAATCATTTTTCTTATTTGGATTGTTATTTTAATAATCTGTTTATTCTTTCTTTTTTAATGTTGAAGATGTTCTTTGCTGGGATGCATTTTGGTGTATTTAATAATTTGTCTAAAGAACCTGAAAAGGACATCTTGAGGAAGATTAACTCCAGTCACTATCTTGGTATTTTAAACTCTGTCAATTGCCATGCTTTAGCCATGTAATCTTTTGTCCTGCTATGCATTTACATTTTGCCCTCACAGTTTAGTCAAAACTGTGCAAAGTATAGATACTCAAGTGGTTACACATACAATATTGATGTTTAAATTATAGATTAAAAAATGAGTAGTTAACTTATGAAAAACATGTATTAGGTAGGTATTAGCTTAAAATGCTTATAAATATAATCACTGTTTGGTTTGACATCTCTCTCTACTTCAGATGTCAGTTAAGAAGAATAAAGCTTCAAGCATTGCTATTAAGAATTAGTGAATACGGCTTAGCAAGATTCTTTACTATGATTTGAACTACTTGCACTGATGATGTATATCCAAGGCATGTTGTGTGTGGGTTTAACTCTTGATAAAATTGTAATTGATCTCATTAAATTGTTGTTTTCAGGACAATGTAATTCACTCATAATAGAAAATTGTATTGGAATGAAGGAATGGTCTTTGAAGATTTTTTTCTTTTTTATTTCTTGGCCTATCCTTATTGACAATTCATTATTCAATTTCAAAATATGAAAACAGGATTGTTCCTTGCAAAATTCATTCCAGAAACTGAGAACCTTCAGATGTGAGGTTTCTATTTGATATACTTTGTTCTGTTGAGTATATTCAAATAAATTGTGTTATGTAATATTAAGTGTTAAAATAATGCTGTTGCAAGGTTACAAAACTGAATTAGGGTTTAAGTTTATAAATGTCAGTTTTTGTTTGAATTTCTGAAATCTTACATTGATTTCTCTCCCAGGTATATTTCTTTCTCTTGTGGGTTTTTTTTTAAAATTTTTTTTTTATTTACAGTAATGCACTGTCTTGTCTTTCTCAGGTATTTGCTATATTCATTACTCTTTCACAAATGTTAAATAAGCACTTTATTTGATCCCTAGGGTATGTCCTTGTTCTTATACCTATCAAGTCTGGTTTATTTCCAAGAGAATTTAATAAATTTTAACCGTCACTTTTTAAAAGGTTTTGTTTGATATTTTCAGAAGGTTATTAAATGTAATAAACACCTCAGGAAGGTATATTAACAAATGTTGGGGAAAAGATAATTCTAAGGCAACCAGTTTGTAGATATTGGGTTTTACTGATTTGCTTTCTGAGTGATGAAACATTTATAGAAAGTCTGTTTAATATTGAACTATGATGGATAAATAAAAGAAATCACTTTAAAAGCATGTCGTTTTCTTTCATTCAATCTAAACTTAAGAAATTGGTGAATGTTATCTGGTAGTAGTGATTATCAAGATGAATACCTTTTACATTTCAATACAAGATTGATACAAAATTGATGCATTTATAGTAGGTTTACATAATCAAGTGTTTTTTCTTTATACTTTCAAGAAAGTATTTTGTTAGTTCTTCAAGCTTAAGTCTTGATAGTTTCATGTAAAATGAAATCAAAGACTGAAATACACTGCTATTAGCTTAATGTAACACTTGAATAATGTATATAGTAATTGATTTAAAATTATTTATTCTAACTTAGTTTATATAATGAAATTTTGATTGACAAAAATAATTTTGAATAGATCTGGATTACTTAATGGAGTCTTCTCATAAATCTTTTCTATTTATTTTGGCTTATGTTTAAAGCCTTATTTTCATGCTTGTAATTTAACAAAATAATAGTATAACTTCTTCAGAATTTGTTAAGCTGCTGTAACTTTGTATGGAAGTACATTAAAAAAAAAGCCTATTATATTACATATAAAGTCAAATGCTATGAAATACAAAAGGATCTGCAAGAGCTGTTTCGCATGAAAGCATTTGATAAAATTTTGCACTTGTGAATCTTGTTAGCTGACAAGGTGGCTGGCACTTTTTATCTTGCTTGGTATATGTAATTCATTAGTTACTACATCAGGTAAGTTTTCAATATCATGCTGAATGAGTGACTGACAATATTCTTGCTTTTCATCTCATTTTGGTTTCTGCTATTCAGTGCATTCTTGCTGTATTTAGCCTGCAGTGCATCAGCAAATCACTCACCATTTTTTCCTTTCATTTTTTTCCCATAATACAAAAAGAACCATCCATTTTTTTTTTATTTTTTTAGTATGTCTCTTTGCCTAGAACATTGACACATTTCATTTATGTTAGGCAGCGATCATACTCAAACAGTACTTCCATTCAAAGAAGACTTGCTTTGCTCTTTCTATCTCCTGTAAAATAGAAATAGGAATACATATTGGATATTGAACTCTTTTTGGTTTCTATAGCAATAATAATGAAATACCATGTCCAGGAATTAAATATCTTTCATATGTATTGTACCATTTGAAACAGTTAATCTACATTTAAGTTTAAGTAGTACTAACACTGAAAGCTGAAAACAAAACAGGCATTTTTTATTTTTTATTTTTTTATTTATTGAGGCGATGTCATTTATTGCTGATCTCTTTGTTTTGTATAATGAACACTTTAGATATTTAATTTCTTCTTTTCAAGTAATTCTCACCATTGGGTTTGCTAAAAATTTTGCTCTGTTTTTAATTAGCTGGTATTAGGAACAATTAGCTTTAGCTAATCAAAAAAAAAAAAAAAAAAAAGCTTTTCATTGGATTGTAGTAGCTGTCATATTAGTCTGTATTTAAAAAATAATATCCAAATTTTGTGTATTTTTGTTTATTGATCTTTAACATTGAAGGTAGAAGAAAATGAGCCACAAAAAAAACAGCTTCTTCATCTAAAGCCATGGAAAGATATTTATTTATAAACCATCATAATTTAGGGAAAGTTCAGGAAATAGGAATTTATTTTAATAAAGTTAAAGGAGATAGTGTTCAGTATGGTTGAATACAAACATTTTTAAATGCATTATTACCAAATTTGTTGCAATGCAAATTCTCCTAGGTATTCTTTTGAAGAGCGTGTTTATGCTTTAAAAAAACTGTTTGTTGTAATCAGTAAATAGCTGGCTACAAAACTACCATAAACAGAAGAATGATGGTTTAGAATGTGTTGTCTGCTATAGGTTTTAATGTATACCGATTTTAAATATCCTCTCCACTAAATTAGGACGTTCAAGTGATCACTTTGTTTATTTTAAGGAAGGCAAAAATGCTACTTCAATGAAAAGAAATAGAAGAAAAAAAATGTGCAGTTTATAGAGAAGGTTTCATGAATAATAAATGTTGTCAGAAGTTACTTGTTTCCTGCTAGAGCCTTGTTTTAAATAATGCTTCAGCTTTGTAGACCAGTTGATGTGATCAAATGAAGACATTAATTGAAAATAATTAATATTATACTGAAAATATTCTAATCAATTATTGAAAACCCAATTTCAACAGCTTAGTTCTGTTAGTCAGTCTCTTTGATATATGGCTAAGTTAAAAGAAACAAACCTATTGGACCATAATTTTTTATTTATTTGTTTAAGGAACTTTTGAAAGGTAATGAAAAGTGGATACTATACAACAGTATCAACTGCAAAAGATAATAGGTTAAGTGAAATGAACCACCCACCATTGTACCTAACAGTATATTAGGATGTGAATGGCATCCTCTACTACAAGTCCCTTTAAGAGAAGCAAACGATCCAGACAGGTCCCACTCTGAATTAGAGGTAGCATTCAATAAAATTTCATCAGGTTAATGCTTGACTGCATGTTTGGTGACCAGGCAAAAATTGTCACAGTTTGGCTGTAAGGTTTTCCTTCATCCACTGTATTTATCACTTTTGGATGACCATTTATTGTAGCAATTCAATTCTGTGGAGGATTGCTAAAGGTAATTAAAACAGTTTTTTGAAAAAGATAAAAATGTTTTGAGAGGAATGAATTATAAAATTTGCTGAAAAATAGCAAAAGATAGTGGAACAAAACTGTAAATATATTGTGCAGAATGTTAAACCAACTTTTTGGTCAACTCATTATATTCAGTGTAAATTGTCCGTAATTGTCCGCATAAATTGACATACATCTTGTTTTGCATGTTTTTTTTCTCTATTTTTGAAATGAATAAACTGATCTTTAAAGGATGGCATAGACAATATTCTAATACAAAGACATTTGTTATAAAATTAGGCTCCAATGTAGATATATTGGCATTATTTTGTCTTTTTTTTCTGCAACTTCTATCTTTAAAGTATTTTTTCTTGTCACAACCCCCCTCCCAAAAAAAAACGAACTTATACCCTTTTAGCAGTTTGTTTTACAAATTTTAGCTTCAAATTAAAAGGAGAATTTGGCAAGCTGTCAAGCAAATTTAGTTAGATATTTCTTTTATATTCATTGGAACGGATTTCTCTATTAAAAACTTTGGGAAAAATATTTTTGTGCATATCAAAATTGGAACATTACTGAAAAAATAGTTGGCCAAATCACTCCAATTAAATCTCTTCAAATGATTTTCAATTGATTAAAATCCTTATGTAAAAGCTGAGAATGC